TCCTACTTTGGTCAAAGTAGAACTATAGCTTCTGCACCTGTTTTAAAGTTGGACATTAAATAAAAGTTGAAGCTCATGTTATGTAGAAGAAACTTTGTTTTTGGAGTATACCATGGATCGGCTCGGAACCAAGTCTAGCAGTGGCTCAAAGTTGGAACCTGCTGCTGATTTCAGCACTCAGAAATATTCTAAGTTTAGAAATTTATTGACATCGGCATTGGCGTCTCGCATTCTCCAAATTTCGTTAAGCAACTTGACTTGATCCCAAAATAAAAGTTGGAGCATACATCGGGAAGAAGAGCGTACAAAAGGATGGTACTCGTTGGACCTTGTCTTGACCATCGATTTTTGGAGTTTGGTAATCGCTGTCAATGCATTGACACTTGCTAATTGGACGCTAATTAGCTGCTATTCCAAAGACCTAATGGATGTGACCCCTTAACCAAGTTTGTAGACCATCCTGAGTAGAGCAACTTTGCTACTGGAGCCAAGTTCGAAATCCGCACGGAATATGCCAAAAAACGGACCCCAAGTCGGGCACAGAGACGCACGCCACGTGCTCGTTGAATTGTCTCCGTGGCAGCCATGCAGCAGCGCGCGCCCCGTTGCTGCCGTGCGTTCGACCTCCGCACCACGCGCCACCCTGCTCCCTGTGCCTCCAAATGCGAACGCCCGAGCTACCCGAGCACTCACTCGCCTCCCCACTCTCCCTCCCTCGCTCTCTGGTGCTGTGCGCGCTCCGGGACGCGGCCGCCATGGTTGCCGCCGCGAGCTCGAGCTTGGCCGCCATTGTTCTTCCTCCTCCAAGCGCCTCGCAGCCCTGAATCCTCTGCCGCCGGCTTTGCCTCCCTCTACTTGGCCTCGTGCGCTCCTTCCCGGCTTTCCTTCGCTTCTTTGCTCACAGGCGTGCTGCCGGTGTGCGTGGCAGCATGCCAGCGCCTTTGTCTGCGTGCAGCCGAACCAACCCGCCCACCTCTAGCCAAATTGACCAGCCCAGCGTGTGCGCGCGGGACCCCTGGTCCTCCCCGCCACTCCACCGCCGCCGTCGATGCCCACAGCCGGTCGGAGCCGCGAGCCGGCCGCTCCCCTGCTCCACCGTCATGAGGAAGGAGAAGGTGGACCACGCGCGGAAATAGAAGCTTCTCCAGGGGGTTAAGTGAAGAACTAGTGACTCATGTGAATAGTACTCATAAGGACCTCTTCGCTGACGTTTGATTTATATTTTCATGGGGTCCCCGATGTAAGATTTAGACCTCTTTTTCTTGGATTTAGGCAGAATTGAATGATCCACTTTGAAAATTCATAGTAATTCATAGAAAATTCGTAAAATAGCAAATGAGGACTTTTTGGAATCCTTGTGAAATTATATATGCCCTAGATCTATAATATGGTATGATTTAGTTTAAAGTTTTTGCTGTAAAAATCAATTTATGCAGTTAGGTTTGTAATACTAGTTGTGCCTTGTCTTTTTTATAACTGAAGTTACTTTGCTCAAATAAATGGGAAATTTTTATAAGATGCTCATCAGGTTATTGTTGTTGTCTGGTAAAAATTTCATGAGTTTAGGATTTATATTTTAAGAGTTATAAAAATAACAAATGCCCTGTAATGGTTTGCTCCTACTCTGAATAGTTCAGCATGTTTGAATTAATTGGCTCAGTTAAGTTATGAATCATGACTTGATGAAAATACATGAGTTGTAGTACTTTTCTTAAGCTTTCCAAGAAGTTAAATATCATGATTTTTGGCTAAGTAGATCTTGAGTTATACTTGCTTAAATCTCTGTGGCTGTTTCTGCCCAAACCCAGACAGGGTTTCCTTGTTCTTACTGTGGGGCCTTCTTAATAGTATAATTAGTTTTAGGTGTTTACAACAAAGTTGTTTAGAATTTGCTAAGATTTCTAAAAAGTCTAGAATCACAATTATGGGACATGTATAACTCCATTTATAGCTGTTTAAAGTGGCATGTCAGTTTCTGTCTATGTTTTGGACAGAGATGCAATTATTGGATTAGTTGACCCTTCTAACTATAAAATAATCTTAATATGAGAATAATAAAGTTGTAGGTAACTTTCTAAGCTTTTCAAAAAGTTATGGTTCATGTTTGTTGGAGGTCTAGAACTCCAGTTATGCTTCTCTGATTGGCAGACTGGTGCTGAAGAGGGTATGACGGGGACGCGAAGAGTGAGCCCAAGGTGCGTCCTGACAGTCGGGCGGTCCCTGGGTAGTGCGGTCCATGACTATTATCCCGCGGCTACTTGGAAAGTGTCATTGGTGATCTAAGCGACCCTGACGGGGGAAGCGTGGTTTGTGTGAGGAATAAATCACCAGCTGGTTATGAATCGATTCGAATAGCCATCGCTCCTGGACAGTGAGCACTTGACTCAAGCTATGGCATCGTAGTAATTATTATGGAACAATGATGGTTATCTGGATGGTATGGGATATGCTAAATCTAAATTGGTAACCGGATGTTATTGGTTAATCAAGTGATTGCTATAGTACAGGTGCTTACCTAGATGGATAGATTATAATAAAGATGATGCAAAGTACTTAGAATGGTTTCCTCATGATAGCTTATGCTTTTCGCAAACCAGTCAGCTAGCCCACTAAAGAAAGCCTTGCATAATCCTTGGTGTCGCTTTATTTTTGGTTTATGACGGGTAAGTCTAGCTGAGTACATTCGAGTACTCAGGGTTTATCCCACCTTATTGCAGGTGAAGTTCTTGACCTGCTGAAGATGGTGGATAACCGCCGGTGGGCTCGGTGATTCTATAGTTACTTCTCATCTATATGCTTTTGTCTAAGGATGTCACTTATGCTAACAATATATTTGGAATATGTATTAATGTAATCTTTTGAAAGCTATGTTGTTTTCACTAATAGGTTTTAAAACCCAAACTTGTACTATTATTTGTGAACCCAATTGTAATATTATTTCCGCTGTAACCCTGAGTATGTGATGTGTAATTGCTTAATCATACGATCTTGGTTGTGATGTTGATTTATCAAGGTCTTTTGGGACACTCGGCGGACTACCGGGTTTATATAAGTGAAAGTATGTGTGTGTCAACATGTTAGCGGGGACAGCCGTACTTGATCTTGTATAAATTGGACGGTTCTGTCACAGAGCACTCCAACAGGGTCCGAAGCACCTCTCTCTCTCTCTCTCTCATACTCAATTTCTCAACAAGAAATTCTTGCTTAGCAAAGGGAATTGCTGGTTGCGCAATTTCTCTCACTGACACGCACTGATAGGCATGCAAGCTTATCTCCCTTACTATTCCTCAACAAGAATTTCTTGGTTAGAGAAGAGAATTGCATGTTGACAGGATAGCACTACTATTTTCATTCTTTTAAATGCTATATGTTTCTTAAATGTGCTAACACCACCAAGTGTACACCACCATGTGTAAGTGTGTTAGCATTTTCACAAATATTTTTCAAAGTATTAGCACTCTTTTCACTATGCCACTCGATCCTAGCAACGATGCACAGTTAGATTACTCGAGTGGCACTAGATTTCCTATATGCAAATAAGTTTGTCCCTCTTGATAGTACGGCCATCTATCCTAAACCCGGTCATAATCTTCTTTACACACCTATGACCGGTGAAATAAAATGTCCTAGGTTATAACTTTTTCTTGCGCATTCCATTCCATCTCCTCCGATGTTGATGCAACATATGCACCAACCATATCACCAAATGATATGATCCACTTCATATCATCACATGACCGTATTGGTTCATCGATCTTAACTTCACTTGATTTTCACCGTTGCTTCGGTCCATCGGCGCCAAGTCATCACTCAACTTGCCCTTCACACTTGCATCCAGTCCGTCAAGCCAAGTCTTGTCTCGATCTTCTCTACCTTAGTCATATGACTCCATGTCATGTCTCGTATGTAATGAGCTCCTTCATCACATGTTTACCTGTGGACTAATCTCCTGTGTATTTCTCATAAACATATATTAGTCCACTAGGCAGGGGGAGGAGGAGCAGGAATGGTGACGGGGGCGGGGTCAAGGACAAGGGGCACGGCAGTGGCGGCGGCGGAGGGGCACGAGGTAGACGACGACGCAGGGGCGGGTCGCGCGTGAGGTAGACGACGACACAAACTCGTCCTAGATGAATGAACAAACTGATTTCTAAACTAGGTCTAACCGTTGTTAACTTTAGTTATTTTCTTATAAAAACGCAACGTGTTAACTAGAAGCATTCAACATCGGAGCAGCCCGACTAGACCTGATCAATCTGCTGACTCGGCATTATCATCATGCTTCATAATAATTTCATAATATCAAACAGCGCTAGCTGTTAATTGCATGCGACGCAAGTTTGATAGGATGACATAAACACTTAACCACTCCTCCGTCCTATGATGGACCAGTATGATTTAATTAATGACCTAAATTTCCACCATCGCCGTTCAAAAATCTACTCTCTCCCGTGTTGAAAAGTATTCGCTGGTGCGCGGGCAACGCCGAGTCAAAGTCGGGTCGTACCGAACAGGCGAACACTCCACCACTCCCACTGCCACTCTCCCTCCCAGTCCCGCCACGCACTCAGCTCCTCCACGTGTCAGCCGAAGGCCGAATCAGGCTCCTTCCAGGAAGCTTCCTCTGATCGTCGATATAAAGCAGATCGGCCCCGTGCAAACGCACCCAAGCCATAGCCCAGCAGCACATCCATCGAAGTCATCCATCAGCTCTGCTCGCAACTCACACGCAACAGCTCTGTTGGAGCTCGATCTCTCGGAGGAACCGAACCAAAAGTCTGCCTGGTTGCCTGCCAGTTGCGAGTAGTCCGGACACGGGATGGGCAACCTCGTCTCGCAGTGCGTCGCGAACGGTGTCGGCGCGCGGCCTGTGGTCGTCAGGCCGGACGGCAGCCGGACGACGGTGGAGAACACCGGGGTCGCAGAGCTGATGATCGACGCGCCGGGGCACGTGGTGGCTCGCGCCACGGACGTGGCGAGGGAGCGGCGGGTGCGGGCCCATGGCGGCCGACGAGCTCCTGCGCGCTGGCGTGGTGTACCTCCTCGTCCCCGCCGGCCGGGCCTGTGCGCGGCTGGGCGACCGTGAGGTCGAGGCCATCGGGAGGCTGGCCTCCGGGAAGAAGAGCTCGAGGAAGAGCAGGCCCGCCGGCGGCAAGAGGGTCTTTCCGGACGTCAACGGCGAGGACAACGCGGCTGAAGGTGACGGAAAGGAGGCTGTGTGTGCCGGTAAACGGGCCCGCGATCATGGACTTGGGCCCAGGCAATGGAGGCCCGCCCTGGATACCATCTACGAGGCCTAAATTTTTGTTAAGAAGGAAAAGATAGTTTTTTTTTCTTAGAAGAGAGAATAGGAAACCCAATTCTTTGATTCATATTCTTTTTGCTTGTTCTTCCTTCCGGTGAGGATGGGAGGCCAAGTTGTGTGCATACACCTTGTAAAGACCTAACCCCCCTTGATGTAGCCATATATATACGAAATTAGAAATGTCAATGTTAGTGGTTGATGGAAGTGAAAATTACTTTCTTCGTGCGTGTTGAAATCGTCTAGAGACTCATGAAAAGTTAAGCGCTTCGGTTCTTCATTAATCCATCTCTTTCAACGACCTTCAAGATATGGAAGATGACTCATCAATATAAAAAGATGTCTAAGTACTTTCTCTGTGAATAAATAGATTTATAGAGTTATCTGAATTCAATTTTTAAAACTTAAACTTTGACCCTATTTCTAGAAATAGGAAAGCCCTTCAAAATTTATAACATTAAATAAGTATCATTAGATATACCATACAATATATTTTCGTAATGTTCTCATTTTATATCATATAAATGTGGTTACTCTTTTTTATAAAGTTAGTCAAACTTAAGATAGTTTGATTTGCATGAATTTTAGAAATTGATTTATTTGAAGACGGAGGGAGTAACCTATATCAAACTATACTAGTATTATCGGGGACCAATATTATAGTATCCGAAGAGGAGGAGCTAATGGTCATCAACATTGATTCATTAGCGCGACTACAACTCCAACCGACCCCCAGTGCACGCGGGCTTTGCCTCGCCCGACCTCTGGGTCGGGGCCCCCGCCTCGCCCGACCTCTAGGTCGAGGGCTCCATCTCATCCGACCCCAAGGAAGCAGGCTCTGCCTCACCCGACCCCCAAGGGTCGTAGGCTCCGTCTCGTCCGACGGGGACCCATATCGTCACCAACCATTCTAGGTCCAGGCATATAGGCCTGGGTCAAAACTCTGACACCAGGGAAGAGATGGGCACGACTCGATGTAACCCGAGACCACGACAGGCCATACATGAGGATTCACAACAAGAACATCGTCGGGCGTACCGGTGCTGTTCTGCCTAACCCTCGTACGAACGCTGACAGGCGCGTCAGTTCACCACGACGTTCGTTGGGGCGAGATGGAACGCCATGACCGACAGATGACGCCTGCGCATGGCGCCAGTGACGGACAGGGCCGCGACGTGGAGCCGTTCCTGTTGACATCTACATGATCGACGTGACCCGCATGAAGGAAAAATATGACCCAACGATCCTGGAAGCTTTCCTCTCTCTAGTTCTTCTCTTTTTCTCCTCTGTAACCCACACTTTTCATTGGCCCTGTAAAAGGAAAGCAGGGCGCCCCATGAAGGGAACCGATCGATCCAGATCCGCACAAGACCGAACCACGAGATAAAAACACAAGAGCACGACACGAGAACACGACTGAGCAGTGATCGAACTCTCAGCACCCGTTCATTCCTTTCACTAGATACTTGGGATCCTCTCACTATCTCGCCTGTTTGTAACCCCTGCTACAAACCTTCAATGCTAGTAACACGAGCAACAGCGACGAGCTGAATGTAGTGACTTTCTGCCCGAAATAGTATAAAATCTCGTGTCCTCTAAGCACATCATCCGAGCCAGACGTGCAAATACAAATTTACTTGTCGGTGGTCCGAAAACACCGACAAGTATAGAGAGTGGCGGATCCAAAAACAGACCAAGACGGGGCCTAAATAATAAAAGAGTAGAAATCTTACTAATAGTAATTAATAGATATAAGAAGGAACACAAATGACGATATCGTTTTGAAGTGCTCAAACAAATATAGAATATTGAAAAAAGAAAATACAAATAAGGAGCATCCACATAATCAAAAGATCTTATATGTCTTCACAATTCCACACAGCTTTGGCCACCCGATACAATACATATCATTCTTTCCTCGGGCCCTTGCGTGGTCTTTTTTTTCTCAATCCGTATCTCTTTAGTTCTAGTAGTACTATTTGACACATCTTTCTCAATAAAATATATTTCCATCCTAGCCTCCTATGCCCTATGATATGAAAATGTTTCAAATTACAATGGATTTATTCGAAAATAGACATTGACATTTAACAAATATATGAAGTCCAATAACCATACCCGGATCTCACCTATCCTGTGCACTTTCATTGTAACGTGCAATACGGAGGTGGTGTTGCATTGCCTCTGGCGCCTAAGGAAGAGTGGGGCGGGCTGCGTAAGGTGCGGAGCTGGACACAATGGCCAGTGTGGCAGTGGATTTACTATTGGCGTGCGGCACAAATCATGATCCATCGATGCCGTACTGATGGTTGGGCTTGGTTGTAGAGAGAAGGTGTGGCGAGCTGGCGAGGGTCGAGGGGCGCCTTCGACTTTGGTGCTCTGCATCTTGGGCACGATTATTGGCCTGTCACGACAAGTACTCGTGGACTTGACTTGTCACGACAAGTACTCGTGGAGATGCAGATTCATGGGTGACACGCGTGAGGTAGCCAAGAAGAAATGCATGAGGGGTTAACCTTCAGCTGAAAAGTGGCCTCTATTAATGATTAGTAGCGGATGACATCTTAAATCACCCCCCTGAAAATCGCTGATTAGCACTACCAATTACCAGAGGCACTCGGGCTGCCTACTTCTGGAAATTGTTTTTACTGCTTCTATTAATAAATCCTGTAGTAGTGTTTAGCGGTAGATTTATTTGCACTAAACTTAAGCAAACTAGATCTAAAGGACTGTTGTAAACGAAAGATAGGATCCTCTCTCCTTTCTCAAGGTTGTTAAAATTATGATCTTGAATTGGATTAGAAACCCAGTGGTACGATCGCAAATCGTAGGATCATAATTACTAGAATCATAATATCGTAGGTCTACTTAACAGAATTGTAGAATCAAGCCGATAAAACTAAGATCACAAAGTTGTAAATTGTACCATAGAGTCATGATTTTAACTACTATATATGTTCCTTCTTACCACCGATCAACTTGACATAGAGGAAGAATGAGAAGTGTGTCCTAGCGGCAGCGAGGAGCTTGAAAGGGGCGGCTGCGGCTGTCTTCTGGAAGGGGCAACGATGGCTCTGTAATGACTCTTCTTTTCTTTTCTATTTATGCTATATTTTAATTTTTCAAATCGGTAAATCCTATTGTTCCTTGTTCATTGTTGCATTCGTGAAAAATTATTATTGTACTAGTACAGTTCTATTATTTAACATTCAAAATGTTGCATTTTATGCAGATATATTTTGGTTGTTCCAATAGGAAACATCAACTGTTCCCTGTTATTCATTTATTGTTCCATTAGTAAAACTTTATCATCCTGGTAGTACAACTAAATGAGCCATGATTTTCGTTTTTATATTTTTTTGCTGTATTTATGTTTTTGCTAGCGGGTATATCGGTTCCATATTACATCGTGTTCCATTTGTGAGTGTTTTTGTTGTTGCAGAAGTACAATTCAATTACCGTACGACTTATTTTTATGTGTCTACATACTTGTAGCTACTCGTTATCATGCACGTGCGACACGCACGTGCCTAGAAGACATTTTCGTTTGTATTTGCTATTTTTAAAATTTTTCTTTTTTTTTTTGTGAAGTATTCCATATCGTTCAGGTAGTTTTTTTTCATTAATTGTTTTCTTCCCAGTTAAACTGACCTTTCCGTTTTTTTTATTGGAACCCGTTAGTTTTTTCATCAACTGAGGTATACAGCCGCTGCTGCTGAAATTGTCTCAGTTGGGAACTGTAGCGCATTTGCTGCAGCCGTTGCTCAGGCACAGGTGAACGGGCCCTGTATTTTCTAATTGTAATTTGACCAAAAGCCCACAGACCAACTTGTAGCACCGAGCAGGCTAACGTGGCCAAGGCCCAAGTGTCCAGAATTGTTCCTGTCGGCGCATCCCAATTCCCTTCCCCATTTCTCCCCGGCTCCTCTCGTCCACATTTGCCTGTACTCCGCCCCAGCTCGAATCCTCCAACCCGCCATGGTTCCTTGCCGTAGATGCCGGGGGAAGAACGGGATCCGGGCAGAGCACCGCCGCCGGCGGTGGCCGCGTCGCCCGGCGCCGGGGAACAAGGCGAGCCGGGCAGAGCACCTTCGCCTGGGCTTTTTTTTGCCGCCCAGGGCTTGCCACCGGAGATTGTGGATCCGCCCGCAGGACGCCTGGGCAGGGCTGCGCCAGGTCTGGCCGCGCTGCCTGCTTGCCGCCGGGGCAGGGCCGCTCTGTCTGCTGGCCGCGCTGCCTGCTTACCGCCGGGGCAGGGCCGCTCTGTCTGCTTGCCGCTGGCTCAGGGCCTTGCCGCCGGGCAGGTTAACGTTGCTGGCCGCGACGTCCTGAGGTCGTCAGGGAAGACCCTCCTTCTCGGGTCCATCATGAACCCAGCTAATGTCAGTACCTTGCCTTTCCTTTCATTTTGATTTTACTCTGTTTGCTTCAAGGTCCAGGGTCGTCGTCTTCTTAGTAATTGTTGCCAAGGACAGGATTACATTATGGCATTGGTGCAGACGATAAGAAAAATCAAATTAAATGGTTTTGATGCACGATATTGATAATTGCATCCTGGACACTTAAAGCTTTAGAAGTACCATTCCTAAAATCTAGCCCAAAATAACTATTATGGGTTTGGAGATGAACGAACAAACATATTGTTGGGGACGTCAGGGCCAAAACTCAGCTTCAGACTGCAATGTTTCCATCTACTATAGCACTTATTAGACAAGCCTTACTGTGCGTGTGCATGAATTTCTACAACTCGGCGAGTCCAGTGGTTGCTTTAGCAGCTCGCATCTCCTTGCCGCGCTCTATTTCATGGTTAGATCAGTTAATTTCAGTTAAATGTCAATGAAACCGTTTGAAAACACAGGCAAAACATTGTTGGAAAATGTCGCTACAAAAGGTTTATATGCTTACATTTATCGCCACTGTCTGAGTTCAATAGAGCTGTCAAACACCAAATAAGAAGGGAATTCTTTTCAATTGCTTATGTCAACATCTCAAGTAAAT